GCAGCGTAAAGCCCGTAACTCGCAACTATGCGCCATTTTTTGAATGGCGTCGTGTTATGTATCGGCCCCGACCCCCACCTCCCCGTTTTGCCACCGGAAACATTTTGTACAGGGAGTTCTTTGGGTACAGGAAATCGGATTTGTCGCCTAACGCCTTGATCACGTTTACAATAGTAAATTCAGATAGGGGGTCATTAGGGTCGTTCTTCTCAGACAGTGCTGGAAACGACCAATTCCGCCAATATATCAGTAAGTCGTCGATTATTATTTCGCAGGACGACCCACAACTGGATAAGCTAGAAATGCAGAAATTTGAAAAGTAATCAAGAGCTTTTATTTTTGACTCAATGAGAATTGTATATATAGTATCAGACTGCTGGAAGGCTGGATTGGATCACACTAATTATCACAAATTCTCGTCACTATGATACTGTCCTGTCACACTAGGACACTGCTTGGGTTCAAGGTTAACCCGGGAAGTTTATGTCGCGCACGAAAATCTTGAGCTTGACAGATTGGGCTCTGCTGCCCGTTTAGGCCATCAGTGAAATTTTCATAAATCATGGGTTCTTGCCTGTCCGGGTCGTGACGGTGCACCTGAACAGCGAGCGGAATACTGTAAATACAGCCCGGGACTCCAACACTGGCGGAAATTGCTCCACTCGCCTGTTCAAAATGAAGAACTTTACAGAATGGTTGTTCTCGCTACTTATGAAATCTCAATGATATTTCGGAATTGCGCATCGACTACCCTAGATACGAGGAGTTGTAGATCGATGATTGACCGAGCCGCGGTTTTCAATTGAAGTTAGAGAAAGTCATTGAGCGTAGTGAACCGGCCGTGCATCTTTGGAGGATGTAAAGCAGCCATACAAGCGAAGAGGTCTGAACTGCAATCTGAGCGAAGAGTATGGGATAGGTACGGAACAGCGCGACAAACAGCTGCGCTTACATGAAAAAAGTACAGTCATTGTTTAGGAGGTCTTGATATCGTGAAGGTGTGCGACCATCATCAAGGGGAAAACCAGGCATTTCGGACACAAATAAGATAACTTTGTGTTTCTAGGAGATTAGCACACTCTCTAGATTTAAGAGACTCCGCCTAATTTAAGAAAAGCTTGCGCGTAGTAAGTTCTTTCCGAACTTACCTTTTGCCTTTGTATAGCTTCTGCCATCACTTTAGCCAAAGAGCCAACCTTGGTACCTCTAAAGCTTGAGATACGTTTAGTACGAGTCACAAAAATGATCCAACTTACACTGGAAAGCTCGCGTTGAGAACATAGAATGGCCTTATATCTTTCAACGGTTTGAACAGGAGAAAGTCAGCCCACTTCTGACAGAGACAATTAAACTCCTGAATGGTGAACGGATTTTCTCATTTACTACCAAGCATAAGAGTTGGACAGTCAGCACCATATCGCGTCCATTCAAACTCAGTTCCCTAAGAACCAATCTACTCAGTTTATGTGGGCGACACTGCGGAGGTGTCCAGTACTCTTCTGCGAGAAGGGTTGGAAGTACCTGAGATCTTTGACGTTTGTTGACAAAATCTTCAAACAGGAACTTACTGCAAAAAGTAAGAATTGTTTCATCATAAGCTCGGCAATGCCTCCTGGTCGCTTTACCGGCAAACAGAGCGAAGCGTAATAAGGTTCAAATGAGCTACTAGCTCTGAATGCATTGATTTCAAACATAAGCTACATAGGAGTGCATTCGAACATTTCACTAGCTAGGGATAATCCTGTAACAAACTCTTCCAATTGATCATCAGCAGAGTCAAAATCTCGACCAAACGAATGCAAGTGACAGAGCTCACACACTGCTCTGCACTTCTGCTGCCTTGTGTTTCATTCAATGTTCCATTCTAATAAAGCGTGAACATTTTGAACGACACACAACGAGCTTATAGCACATGACACCAACACAAGCACTGCTCTCTGCGAAATGGAACGATGATGGTTCCCATAACTTATTTAAACAGGAGTAAATTGGCACTCCTTTTGATAACTTAACAAATCGGTATCACTTTGTTCCCGTTTATAAGCAACGTTCAGGATACGTCCATAATTACCTGGGTGCCGAGCACGATGCGAACAAGGTGCACCGATCTCACCGCGCTTACGTGCTCTTTCATACTGCTTGTATACTTTCGAGCACATAAGCCATTGCCTCGACATGGGACACTCTTTATAGGCTTGCCTTATTTTTGCATATTCCGAGTCGTAGCTGGTAGTAATCATGAGTACCGCCTCCTCGTCAAAGTGTTGATGTTCCTTTGCAGGGAAGCGATATATAACAGTTATCTCTTCCGCACACGATGCGCTGCCAATGATCGGGTTACTCCCGATCACTGGCAGCGATCACTCTCGATCATGTTAGCATGTGTTTTCATTTCGCACACTTTCCCTTCAAAATCTTTTGGATCTGCAGTAGGATCAGGTGCTCATGCAAGATAGAAGCATACAAAATGTAGAACTGACCTTTTTTATGGCATCACGCTTGGATCCTTGCTTGTCTTATCCATTTAGAAAGATCAAGTGTTGGGAGGTGCTACACCTCCTTGTCACTCCAAGATAATGCAAAGGCTGCTTTTCCTAAACTACGTTCAATGAGATTCAGAAAAACGAAACCATGGATTCGCTAAGACTTTGCTCATGGGGGTTATTCAGCATACCGATATAAATAACAAATTGGTTTCGCTTTTTAACTTCAAGTTACGGGATTATACAATGGACCGGAATCTCAAACTTGCTCCAAAGGTTTCATGGAGTTCTTGCATTTCGCAAGTAACGATTCTAGTAATGGTGACGCTTAAGGCTTGTTGCTGAGCAGCATGAGTAGCTGCTTTGTCATCCACACCTAACAATGCATTCAGCAAAGCTACGGCAACGAAGATCAGAATTCTGCGGTGGGCTTAACTTTGGCAAAACTTCGCCAATGGTCCAGCGTCAGGCTGCTTATTCATAGAGAGTCACCTACTGGCTGAACAAAAGAACCCGTAGCATCAAATCTTTGAGTTTTAACAGACTCTTCAAGTACAAACTAAGACGCTTTGCAAAAACAACGCGCATTTGTGTGCGACATGCGATAGCCCAAGGCTCCCTTCTTGGCAAGGTGAAGTATGCGCCAGACTAACGGATTATCTGCTTCATCAGGACGCAGCGCAATTACTATCATTTGATGCCATGTTGTAGGGAAATCAAGTCAGGGTGCGCGATTTTGCTACCAAAAATTTTTACTCTAGTCTTTTCATCATTCTTTCATTCTGCGAGGTTTTTTTCAAAATCATCTCTTCAAAATTACTGTTGTAACAAACATCGCAGACGAAACCTCGATTTCTACCCAAATGACGCCAAATGGGATCAGTTAACTAGCTGCGCCGCGTCCTGTTGAAGTCACTCGGTTAGTCTGGCGCCTACCTTAGCGGCGAGATCCAAAGAAGCTAGCTCTCAAAGACACGAAATCAATTAGAACTATAAACTTTCAACTTAGGGCCCTCACAGCATGACAGCATGGATGCGGAGTACGCATCTGGAATTCGCCACTTTTCCAGACTTGGCATCAGCGAGCTCATATTTCGTCAAAAAGACCGACCATCTCGCGAAGTATGCCATTGAAGACTGTCGATCGCAAATAGGTTCTGGATGGCGCGACGAGGTGAGCTCAAGTTTGTTAAAAAAAGCAGAGTTATTCCGAAGAATTGCGTAGCTCAGCACAGTCGCTGCTTCTGCATTTCGGCATCTCGACTAGGCAGGTTGATGGAGGAAGTTCAAGGACAACTCACAAAATGGGGCAGCAATGGAGTTGGGAGATGAACCAGAAGATTCCTGGACGCATCTGGAGAACAAGGTCTCACAGATGGCTAGTAATCTACTTGGAAGCTCCAACGAAGGCCAAAAATGGACAAGGAAACATGGTGCTGGAATGAGGTCGTTCAGGAAGTGATCAAGGAGAAGAAGATGGCGTACAAAGTATGGCAGAAATTTGGGGAAGAATATGCGCATCAGGATCTAAATGATGGATGTAAAGTTTGAAGCAAAGGAGCGTCAGAGAAGCATAAGAAGCGTATATTATGGACTTCTACAGAAAGCAGCATTAGGAAAAGCGTGAGAGATATACCGAATCTCAAGGAAAAGAGGTGCTAGAAATGGTACGCCGAGAGCTTTTGAAGAAGTGGCGTCTACAAGTAGAAAAAACATACCTTAATGGCTGAGAGATTACAAGGACCGATACAGAGTCGGAGAACAAGTAAGCACTAAACCTTAACAAGGATGAAACGGAAAGATAGCGGGTGCAGACGACATCTCCAGCGAATCTTAGTAGTGCGGGCAAATTGGCGTCATTGGTTAATACATCTTCTCACAGGATAGTACAGGGTGTCCCAAAAGTCTTGGAGTCTAGTATTTCTTA